ACCTGTCTATCCCCGAGTCATTGTTACCTGTCTATCCCCGACTTATTGTCACATGTCTATCCCCGAGTAATTGTTACCTGTCTATTCCAGGGTAATTGTCACCTGTCTACTCCTTTCTAATTGTCACCTGTCTATCCCCGAGTCATTGTTGCCTGTCTATCCCCGAGTCATTGTCACCTGTCTATCCCCGGGTTTTTGTGACCTGTCTATCCCCTAAGTCATTGTCACCTGTCTATCCCCGAGTAATTGTTACCTTCCATCCCCGACTTATTGTCACCTGTCTATCCCCGACTTATTGGCACCTGTCTTTCCCCGCGTTATTGTCACCTGTCTATCCCCGGGTTTTTGTGACCTGTCCATCCCCGAGTCTCATTGTCACCTGTCTATCCCCGACTTATTGTCAACTGTCTATCCCCGAGTTTTTGTCAACTGTCTATCCCCGAGTCACTGTTACCTGTATATCCCCGCGTTATTGTCACCTGTCTATTTCCGAATTTTTGTCACCTGTCCATCCCCGAGTCATCCTTACATGTCTATCCCCGAGTCATTGTTACATGTCTATCCCCGAGTCATTCTTACCTCTCTTATCCCGAATCATTCTTACATGACTACTCCCGAGTCATTGTTACATGTTTTCTTCCATATAATTGTTACATGTCTTCTTCCGACTCATTCTCACTTTCTACTCCGGAATCATTCTTACCTCTCTACTTCCGAATCATTCTTACCTCTCTACTGTCGAATCAGTGTTCTCTCTCTACTCCCGAATCATTGTTACCTGTCTACTCCCGCATCATTCTTACCTCTGAGTCTCTATTCCCTAATCATTGTTACATGTCTTCTCCCGAATCATTGTTACCTCTCTACTCCCGGTTCATTGTTACATGTCTTCTTCCGAATCATTGTTACCTCTCTACTTCTGAATCATTGTTACATGTCTTCTTTCGAATCATTGTTACCTCTCTACTCCCGGTTCATTGTTACATGTCTTCTTTCGAAACATTGTAACCTCTCTTCTCCCCAATCATTGTTACCTCTCTATTCCCTAACATTGTAACATGTCTTCTCCCGAATCATTGTTACCTGTCTACTCCCGAATCATTGTTTCATGTCTACTCCGGAATCATTCTTACCTCTCTTATCCCGAATCATTGTAACATATCTACTCCCGAATCATTGTTACATGTCTACTCCCGAATCATTGTTACATTGCTTGTTCAGAATCATTCTTACCTCTCTACTCCCGAATCATTGTAACATATCTACTCCCGAATCATTGTTACATGTCTACTCCCGAATAATTGTTACATGGCTTGTTCAGAATCATTCTTACCTCTCTACTCCCGGTTCATTGTTACATGTCTTCTTCCGAATCATTGTTACCTCTCTACTCCTGAATCATTGTTACATGTCTTCTTTCGAATCATTGTTACCTCTCTACTCCCGGTTCATTGTTACATGTCTTCTTTCGAAACATTGTAACCTCTCTTCTCCCCAATCATTGTTACCTCTCTATTCCCTAACATTGTAACATGTCTTCTCCCGAATCATTGTTACCTGTCTACTCCCGAATCATTGTAACCTCTCTACTCCCGAATCATTGTTACATGTCTACTCCCGAATCATTGTTACATTGCTTGTTCAGAATCATTCTTACCTCTCTACTCCCGAATCATTGTAACATATCTACTCCCGAATCATTGTTACATGTCTACTCCCGTATAATTGTTACATGTCTTCTCCCGAATCATTCTTACCTCTCTACTCCCGAATCTATGGCCGTTATCTTCACTGTACACAAGATCAAAATGTATTTTTGAAACATAGAAAAAAAACACCGTGTTTTGTGAACTGAGTTCAGTAAAGTGGTAAATTAATTAATACACGTTCATAGAAAAAATGATTCATTGTATATGTTAGAATATAAATAATGCAGTGTTTGTGGTATGCTGGTATCAGTACAATTGCAAACACACACTTAATACTGTTTATTAAATTATCAAAATGTAGAAGTGTTTTTCAAAGATAGGAATTTCAACAGTTTCCTCGACCGCGTATCCCACTGGTTACAACGATTTGGTCACGTGGTCACTCTGCTTGTCAGCGATGTACAGAGTGAGTGAATTGGGTTTAACGCCAGTTATGTCGCGGCGTGTCAGCTTAATGTTGGAGGAAAACCCAAAGCGATGCAGGTCTCAGACGTTTACCACTTCTGTGGAACCCACGAGCACGGGTATGGTGCTGACAAACCTAGAAACATAATCGGGGCGAACCGGGATTCGAACCCACAATCATAGGTTCCTGGTGTGCCCAAGGGACGCAGCTTTGAAAAGCGAATCGCGGCGCCTTAGACGACTGGACCATCCGTAACCCCCGATGTACAGAGAATCAGGGGACCGTGTTACAGTCATTCAAAACCAGTTTAGTGCAATACGTCATTTCCACAGCAACCGGACCACGATTCCTCGTTACAAATTTCAGTCTCCTCACAAGTATTACTTCATTGAATAATTGTTGTGAAATGCGTATCATTATTCTGAAGTATTTCATCATCAGGAGTAAGTGAAATAAATAACGGTGTTTGTTTCAGACGCCAACACAGACCCAAGAGAAGTCCGATTTTTAATTCCTTTATGATATCGGTTTGACGAAATGAAGTATTTATTGGAAAAAAATCTTTATTTTTCATTTACTCCATCACTTCCTTTTAGAAGATGCACAGTACTGCGTGAAATGATTGGTGAATGGAATTATGTGTGTACGAATTGGATGGGATTACGAACACTGGAAATATTGATGCACGAATTTTACAACGATGCCAGAAACTGTCCCCACTTTTAGGTGTCTCTACATTCACAAGATGTCCTCAACCATTAAGTTATATTGAATATTCCTGAATGTTCCTCGCCAATGTATTTTCGAAATGTATTTAAAACGTAAAAGAAAATCCACACATTTAAGTACTCAAAATGGCCTTTTCGTACGCTTTTGTAATCATATAGAAACGTTTTAATAACGTTTTAAAGCGGTTTATTTAAGTTTCGATAATTTTTCTTGCCACCGTTTTTGTTTCGAAACGTTTTGAAAAAGTAGATGAAAGTCCATAATTTAAAACTTTTAAGACATTTTGTCGAACGTTTTTGGTGCCGCATTCACCATTTTCAAAACGTGTCAACAAGATTTCTGTGTTAGCTGGGTGTACAGCGATTGTGGAAGAAATGGCTATCAAATTGCAAACTGTCTTCGTCTTTGGTCAGGGTGTCATGTCATCGGCACCGGTTCAGGTCCAGAAAAGTCTATAGGAAAATGTTACATGCTATAAGGGGTTGTGCATTTTTTAATGGTAAATATTTTTTTCTAGATGTAATATCATATGAAATACGATATTGTCCTTCTACAACCTAGGATGGGGTTATAAATTGATTGATTGGTACAGACAAGTTCAAAATACACGTTTTAATAGTTTAAGTATCAGTATATCAATTTTGTCACAAATTTGTCAATACGTTTTTGTTTTTATAAATGTTATATTTGAAACCGTAGTTCAACTGCTTTTGAACATCATGTCTCGCTCTATACTCTTTCAAAAGAAAACCATTTTAGTTTATCTCATCTACAGGAATATATTGACAATTTCTTTACAAAGTTAATTATTTTGAATCCTCGAGATCCTAGACATCAAAGCCTTTTCATTGTAAATTGGTTATTCATCAATCCACTACCAACAAGATGTCAACTATGGAAAGAAAAAAATGACGAAACAATGTACTAGGGTTCTGTGAAAACTAAAAACTTTTATATTGTGTGCTATTCATTCTGCAAACTTTTTGTGCATAGAAACTGAAATAATATCTCATTTTGTGAAACGAATATCGTGAATAAAAAACATACTATATTTTTGCTAGTTACAATATGTCTCAACAGTTGCATTCACTGAAGCAGCGTACACTAGTGTCGGGAACTAACGTCAGTCTGAATATCCATTATTCTGGGATTATCTCGGTCTGGTGACTTTTATATTAGGATAATACCCGTCGGCAACTGAGAACAGTGTCTTCCCATTATGACAACTAAGCACATACCCCATGATTCAGTGACTGCAAATTGCAACCTATCATCTCTATATATGTTTCAAGGTGAGTTGGATACGGAGTTGGAGTAGTCAAAATGGCAAAAGGAGAAAACAGGTTCTTTGTAGTATTCATTGGATTTATTCATTTATTCATGAATTCATCCTTTTCAAGTTACAGGTGTCATTCAATGCTCAATTTATTGCTCGAAAACCCAATAGCCATGATGCTAGTAAATCGTGAGAATACATAGTAGTAATCCATTCATCGAACTATGAAACATAATTGGCTAATCTTTGTTTACCTTTGTCAGCCCGAATATTTTGGAAACAATACTTTGAAGATTCTGGCACCTGATAGTTTCTCCCTTTTAAACATGATACACAGTCGAAACACGGATCTTGAACATGGATGTGAAACACGGATCTGAAACAGAGATCTCCAACATGGATCTGAAACGCGGATCTGAAACACAAATCTTAAACATGGATCTGAAACACGGATCTGAAACATGGATCCGAAACACGGATCTGAAACACGGATCCGAAACACGGATCTGAAACACGGATCTGAAACACAAATCTTAAACATGGATCTGAGACACGGATCTGAAACATGGATCTGAAACACGAATCTGAAACACGGATCTGAAACACGGATCTGAAACACGGATCTGCAACATTGATCTGTAACACGGATCTGAAACACAAATCTTAAACATGGATCTGCAACATGGATCTGAAACATGGATCTGAAACACGGATCTGAAACACGGATCTGAAACACGGATCTGTCAGAAAACCATGACGTCAATCAACCCGGGACAAGTCACATCCACAAAATGCAAACGTTTCCCAGCAACATAATGTGTGACAAACTCACAGCCGTAAATAAAAATCAAAGGGCGCTCTGTCAAATACGAGAACAGGTTGCCGCGCGCACAGCTGCCACTACCTAACATCACCTTTATGTTGAACACTGGCTGCTGTTCCTGCTTCGAAATGGCTGTCTCGTACTCCAAGATGCTGTTGATACTTCTAGCCATCAGGTATGTTCTCTTTTGTCTTTGTTCGTTGTGTTTCGTTTGATCAGGACTTGTGTTACTTGTTGGGATAACTTTTGAGGGCTTTTTCACAAATGTAATTGCATTGCTATAGCTAAATGACATTTCCGATATTATTGTTAAACTGCCGGGAAAAAGAACGAAAACACTTGAAAATTTGATTTGACCAAAAAAATACAATCGTGTATTATCAAAACGTTACCAGGCTGAAAACAGACACCGACACATAGCAAACTTAAGGTCCAAACATTACTATGATACCCGTATTAAATACATCACGATCAAATAACCATCTTTATTTTTTTTCATTTTCAACCACCGTCTAACATGGGCGTATGCTTACTTTTGCCTGGCATTATTGTAGGCATAGCCCTTACAATAGTATTGCGTGAGTTTTATGGGCACGAATGCCATTGTAATATGTAAATGATTTTCTTGCACTCTTTGATATTATCATAGTTCCAAAATACGTCATATATCCTTCTATATTTTATAATAATTTTGATTTTATGAACCTTTTGTATGGATATTATTCAATAATTGTGCTGATATATGCCGGCCTTCATTCCAAAGTTTTAGTTGATAAGTGTCATGGAGGTTGGTTGGTTGGTTGGTTGGTTTGTTGTTTAACGCCGCACTCAGCAATATTCCTGCTATATGACGGCGGTCTTAAAATAATCGAGTCTGGAACAGACAACCCAGTGATCAATATCATGAGCATCGATTCACGCAATTGGGATACGATGACATGTATCAACCAAGTCAGCGAGCCTGACCACCCGATCCCGGTAGTAGCCTCTTACGACAAGCGCAGTCGCCATTTAATAATGTTTGAACAATGTACTTATTAAGCGGGGTAACTTTACTGTACAGGCATAAATTAACTAATAAATCCTACTTCTTCGCCGGATTTGTTTCCTGTGCTAGGCATATAACATATGGATAGGACCAACACGTCATTGTAACACTTTTCTGTCAGCTTGTGAATTTGTAGTATATAATATGTGCCTTATCACTCAGTATGTTGCGGGTATATTGCATTGGTGTATAATACTTCGAATAATATTTGACTAAAATAAATTAAAATAAATAACGTGAACGCCTGAGAATAACCAGTCTCGATTATTAGTCCAGGCAATCTAGGCCATTTTTTCACTAAACTTGGAACAAATTGCAACAGAATTTATTTTACCATAATGCATTTCTACAAGGTCCCGAAAACAACATACTAAAAGTCCCAAGCAATCCCAGTTTGGGAAATATGTCTAATTTGCATAATCCAATATGGCCACCAATTATTAATATATCTTCCATATGTCAGATGAGGGTCAATGTTTTGATGAAAAAAAGCATGTGTTGTCTTGCGAAATAGCCATGTTATGTTTCTAAAACGATATTCACAACTCCTGAACGTTTTCGATTATTGACAAATCTGCAAAAATTCAAGATGGCCGCCAATTTCAAGATGGCCGCCAAATTTCCTAAATGTGTGTTTCCACTGTTGAATCGTTTATCTCTAAAACAGTGTGCTAGGACTTATATGCATATAACTTGGCACACTAACAGATTCCATTGGTCGCGGAAAACGAAAATATAAATGGTCAAAAAGTAAGCTGGACGTTTTCAGTTACAGGGTTGCAACAAGCGATTGTTAAGATTCCATTGAAAATTTGTATTACAGGATTGAAACAAGCGACTTGTAATCCTCAAACTTTGTTTTGCGTTACAGAACTTAACCGGCGACGAGTATGCTTGAAAATTATTTTGTTGAAATGGTTGCAACATACGATTGATTTGCTCTTTATTAGTGTTTTGTGTAGCGGTGCTGCAACATCCGACATGAACCCGGAACGAGATCACCCAAGGGCCGGGAAGCCAGGACCATCTCAGTCAGCAGTCTACCTCCTGGCCAATAAGCGCAGCGCCGAGTTTGTGCCCAGTGACCGGGTTTATGCCCACATGACATCCTATTTGTCGAAGAGACTCCATGCCCCTTTTGAAACACAGAGAGAAGACAGAAGGTCAAGTCCACGACCAGACAGCATCCCCGGCATCGACATCATAGCTTCAATGACAAGGTCCTTAAACAAGCTGAGATCAAGGAAGGCACATGGTTACTCCGTGTCAGGTGCTCCCGGTGCCTCAGCTGAAGACAGTCATACGATGAACAAGACCCAAATGAACCAAGAGTCTCATGAAGACAAGTTACGTGCCCCTAGCACAGCTGATCATGCCTATCGGGACGCGGAAGTGAGCTCTTCAAAGAACCTCTTCCTCAAGAAACTGATTGAAAACGCTGTCAGAATGCTTTACCTTTCCGTTGATGTTCCAGCTCCTACCACGTACCCATTTTACTCGGAATCTGCACATCAAGTTCAGCTTCCAGGCCAAGGTCATGGATTCATGAAGAGAAAGGCCAAGCCTGACCCAAGCTTGTCAACAGAGGGTAAACGACCATTTGATCGTCTTGCAAGTGGAGCCACGGGGAAAAGATTTGTCAGCACGGGACATTATTTCAATAAACGCCCATTTGATCCGCTTGCAAGTGGTCTCATTGGGAAACGAGCTGTGGAAATCCCTGCAGATGCTCAACTACAGAAACGACATGTTGATTCTCTGGCCGACGATCTGAAACGGAAACGGGGTGCTGTCTTGCCATCAGACAAACTCTTCATGAAGCGCCCGTTTGATCCTCTCGCTAATGGGTTGATTGGGAAGAGATTCTTGAGTGCAGAAGGCCCTGCTGAATAAATATGTAAATATGTTACTGGCAGCGATGCTTTTTACGATTTGAGTCCTTTTATCCAAAGAGATATTTATCGTAAACATATACGTATCATCATATTTGTTCACATCTTCCCGAGAAGCCAGGCTTTGATATAGGCTAGTACACATTTTCGCCTCGGGAAGATGGTTTGTTCAAGTTTTACTGTTATGTTGTCAGCAGTCGTTGTTCAATGGGATAATCGAAGCCCAATCTCGTCTGAATATTCTATGGCGTATCTTTATTATTGATAATATTCAGAGAAACACACACACACATCTATTTCGTCATGGTAACAGAATTGTCGTATTCATAATAATTTGAATAAGCTGAAATTGACAAACAAAGGAGGTGATTGCATTGCCATGGAAACATATGACATCAACCTCTGTGTCATGACGATAGAACATTTCAAGGTGTTTGTATCCCAGCTGTACAAGTGCTTATACGAAGAAAGTGCCGCAGAAAATATGTATTATGTTTTATATGAATAAATAAAACAGTATTAGTGACAATTTGATCCCCGAAACTAGAACATTTGAAAACTTAGCGTGATGTTTGTCTCCAAAGTAGATCATCCTAGTGTTGGTAATAGTCCGCCAGTACAGTTCGATGTTATTTGAAAATTAAAATCTCGTTAAACCGTTTCATTTTAATTTCTTTGAAAATCTATTTGAAAATCGGGCGTTTGTATGGACCTTGCAGTTAAAGTGTTTGTCGTTATGCCCAAACACGGTTTCGAATGACCCATTGGGTAGACTGTGTGTGTTTCTCAGGAATGTAGGGTTACTCTTCTCAGGAATCATGCAGAACAATTAGTACCTTTACGAAATACTATGTATTTTGTTTAAGGCCACGAGTGAGTGTAGTTTGGAATGATCTCAGTGTCTCACAACCCACGAGATATCATCAGCTCGCAACATGATTTTTACACTTATCACTTTACCGACGCAATTACTGGAATGTAAGTGAGTTGATTTGAAGCCGCTTTGAACAGTTCTTCCGTTATATTACGACGTGTCAGCTTAACGTGGGAGGAAAGTGAAGCAGGTCTTAGATGTTAATCACTTTGGTGAAACCGACGAACACGGGTATGAGGCTGACAAACCTAGAATAAAATCAGTGCGATTATGGGATTTGAACCCGCGATCATTGGATGCTGGCGTGTCGAAGGGACGTAACTCCGACAGCCTGACTACCTCTTTTCTGCAAATGAAAAATTGTCTAGACTGTTTTGTGTTCTGGTATTGCTTTGTTGTAAAGGCATTAATAGCCAATTCGCCATTCGATCTGAAAATGTTCAATATTTTACTGAACAAATATTAAACATAGAAGATGAATAAAATTGTGTTATTAAATCATCACTGTTCTTGTCTTTATGTGTAATTGCTTTAGGTATATTCATGCGCAGTTGAGTGCGTGTGTAAGAGAAACAGTCAGCGTTGAAGAAAGAAAAGGCGGGCGAAATAGTCTCATCAGGGAAATTGATGGTACAGTCGAATCTTTCTAAACGCGAATCAGAAACGCAAACTATGGAGGGGATGAGAGACATAGCGAACAGCGAGGGACAGATAGACACATTGGGAATATTGGAAGATGGAGGGGATGAGAGACATAGCGAACAGGGAGGGACAGATAGACACATTGGGAATAGGGGAAGATGGAGGGTATGAGAGACATAGCGAACAGGGAGGGACAGATAGACACATTGGGAATATGGGAAGATGGAGGGGATGAGAGACATAGCGAACAGGGAGGGACAGATAGACACATTGGGAATATGGGAAGATGGAGGGCATGAGAGACATAGCGAACAGGGAGGGACAGATAGACACATTAAGAATATGGAGAGACAGGGTGCGTGAGGGACATAGCGAAAAGGGAGGGACAGATAGACACATTAAGAATATGGACAGACGGGGGGCATGAGGGACATAGCGAACAGGGAGCGCAGATAGACACATTGGGAATATTGAAAGATTGAGGGCATGAGAAACATAGCGAACAGGGAGGGGCAGATAGACACTTTGGGAATATGGGAAGATGGAGGGCATGAGAAACATAGCGAACAGGGAGGGGCAGATAGACACATTGGGAATATTGAAAGATGGAGGGCATGAGAAACATAGCGAACAGGGAGGGGCAGATAGACACATTGGGAATATGGGAAGATGGAGGGCATGAGAAACATAGCGAACAGGGAGGGGCAGATAGACACATTGGGAATATTGAAAGATGGAGGGCATGAGAAACATAGCGAACAGGGAGGGGCAGATAGACACATTGGGAATATGGGAAGATGGAGGGCATGAGAAACATAGCGAACAGGGAGGGGCAGATAGACACATCGGGAATATGGAGAGACAGGGTGCGTGAGGGACATAGCGAAAAGGGAGGGGCAGATAGACACATTGGGAATATGAAAAAATGGAGGGTGTAGCAGGGCGTTGAGTCATCCCACAAATGACATCCTTACCTTGTCTCTTTGGTCATGTGGACAAGGCGTCCGACCTCGGATCAGAAGGTCCGTGGTTCGAATCCCATCACGGGACTCGGAAATTTTATTGCCGCTACAGAGGGCATGAGGTACAAACCGAACAGGGAGGGACAGATAGACACATTAAGAATATGGACAGACGGAGGTTATGAGGGACATAGCGAACAGGGAGGGACAGATAGACACATTGGGAATATGGAGAGACGGAGGTTATGAGGGACATAGCGAACAGGGAGGGACAGATAGACACATTGGGAATATGGAGAGACGGGGGGCATGATCATCATGAGGGACATACCGAACAGGGAGGGACAGGGATACATATTTACCGAACAGGGTGGGGGCAGATGTACTTTAAAGGACACAAAGAGGAGAGGCATGGGCAATATTGAGTGCCTGGGGACATGGAGAGGTATGGAGGGGTATGGAGAGACATGGGGACATCGAGAGGTATGGAGGGGCATGGAGAGACATGGGCAATATGGAGTGACTGGGGACATGGAGAGGTATGGAGGGGCATGGATAGACATGGGCAATATGGAGTGACTGGGGACATGGAGAGGTATGGATGGGCATGTAGAGACATGGGCAATATGGGGTGACTGGGGACATGGAGAGGTATGGAGGGGCATGGAGTGACTGGGGACATGGAGAGGTGTCGAGGGGTATGGACAGACATGGGCAATATGGAGTGCCTGGGGACATGGAGAGGTATGGAGGGGCATGGATAGACATGGGCAGTATGGAGTGACTGGGGACATGGAGAGGTATGGATGGGCATGTAGAGACATGGGCAATATGGAGTGACTGGGGACATGGAGAGGTATGGAGGGGCATGGAGAGACATGGGGACATCGAGAGGTATGGAGGGGCATGGAGAGATATGGAGGGGCATGGAGAGACATGGGCAATATGGAGAGAATCGGGACATGGAGTGGTATGGAGGGGCATGGAGAGACATTGGCAATATGGAGTGACTGGGGACATGGAGAGGTATGGAGGGGTATGGATAGACATGGGCAATATGGAGTGACTGGGGACATGGAGAGGTGTCGAGGGGCATGGAGAGGCATGGGCAATATGGAGTGACTGGGGACATGGAGAGGTATGGAGGGGTATGGATAGACATGGGCAATATGGAGTGACTGGGGACATGGAGAGGTGTCGAGGGGCATGGAGAGGCATGGGCAATATGGAGTGACTGGGGACATGGAGAGGTATGGAGGGGTATGGATAGACATGGGCAATATGGAGTGCCTGGGGACATGGAGAGGTATGGAGGGGCATGGAGAGACATGGGCAATATGGAGTGACTGGGGACATGGAGAGGTATGGAGGGGTATGGATAGACATGGGCAATATGGAGTGACTGGGGACATGGAGAGGTATGGATGGGCATGTAGAGACATGGGCAATATGGAGTGACTGGGGACATGGAGAGGTATGGAGGGGTATGGAGAGGCATGGGCAATATGGAGTGACTGGGGACATGGAGAGGTATGGAGGAGGAGAGACATGGGCTATATGGAGTGACTGGGGACATGGAGAGGTGTCGAGGGGCATGGAGAGACATGGGCTATATGGAGTGACTGGGGACATAGAGAGGTATGGAGGGACATGGAGAGGTGTCGAGGGGCATGGACAGACATGGGCTATATGGAGTGACTGGGGACATGGAGAGGTGTCGAGGGGCATGGAGAGACATTGGCTATATGGAGTGACTGGGGACATGGAGAGGTGTCGAGGGGTATGGACAGACATGGGCAATATGGAGTGCCTGGGGACATGGAGGGGCATGGATAGACATGGGCTATATGGAGTGACTGGGGACATGGAGAGGTGTCGAGGGGTATGGATAGACATGGGCTATATGGAGTGACTGGGGACATAGAGAGGTATGGAGGGGTATGGAGTGGCATGGGCAATATGGAGTGACTGGGGACATGGAGAGGTATGGAGGGGGAGAGGCATTGAAGGACGTGTAGCAACACTGAAGAACATGGATTGACATCGATGATGAGGATAACGCTGAAGGACATAGCAGTGAGACAGAAACTGTCTGAAGTAATAAACAACCAATGCCAAGTTATTTGAAGACATTTTTATTTCATTCAAGAACAACTGACCAAACTTAATAATCAGTTCCATAAAGTTATGAATATAAGTGGCTAAATACATTGTGTTTGTTTAAGCCTAAGGTTGAATATATGACAAAACATATGAGCATACGATATTCGGTGTTTTGCGTATCTACAGGTCGTCGACTTACAACTTACACTTGAAATACATAATTATATATATATCAATAGTTGTTTTTTACGGGTCGGGTATAACCATGGCAACAAGACGTCAGAAGGATCCGGGCTCACGTCTGACATTAACACCATTAACAACGCGTGTCATCATGATTGATCACAATACAGAAATAACTTATAATACAAACTTTTAGTAAAAGATACATTACAGATAAGTTTATCAAAATTAAATAATATACAGGAAGATTCATCATTTCTGATTGTTCATGAAACATATAATGTATTAATGAGATATGGAGACGTAAGGTGAGTGAGTGTGAGACATAAAGAGAGAGAGAGAGAGAGAGAGAGAGAGAGAGAGAGAGAGAGTGAGAGAGAGACAGAAGGAGAGGACAAAAGGTGTGAGCGAGTGAGGAGAGAGTGAGAGAAAGAGAGAAAGGGCGACAGAGGAAAAAGAGATTTTGAGAGAGAGGTACTCTGACTCGGTTGACGTATGTGTCCATTACCTGTGTTTGCACACAACGTGTATCCTTCAATGCTGAGTTAAAAATCATTGCGAATATTTTACGACTGTTTCAATTTTCGTCATTTGCATTCTGACATCGGCAAACGTAAAAAACGTGTGTGGGGGTGGGGGTGGGGGGGGGGGGGGGCGGAAGAGAGAGAGAGAGGAAGTTTAAAGAAAGTGTGAGGTGTGAGGGAGAGACAAAGAGAGAGAGAGAGGGAGAGAGAGAGAGTCAGTAAAGTGTATGTGAGTAGAGAGTTAGAGACCATAAGAGAGAAAGAGAGTGAGTGAGTGAGTATGGCTTTATGCCTCTTTTGGATATATTCTAGCAATATCACGGCGAGGGACATCGGAAATAGGCTTCACACTCTGTACCAATGTGGGGAATCGAACTCGGGTCTTCGGGATGACGAGCGAACGCGTTAACCACTAGGCGAAAGAAGGAGAGAGACTGGAGCGAGAGCATGAGAGAGAAAGAAAGAGAGAGAGGATGCTCACTCCATGTTTCGTCCCAAATGATCTTACACAATTATTGGAATTCCCGACAGAGTGGAGTGACATAGACATTGAATCCTTGCACAGTGCTTTAACAACTGATGCAGACAAACGAGAAGCCCTGGAGTGCGTGCCCATTACCTTCGTCTGCACTAAAATGTATCCTTCTATAGGAGACACATAGTGAATCTGACGAAGGAAAAAAAGCATGAATTCCATCTATATCTTCTGAACACAGTGATACACATGGGCCGGATCACTTTATAACAACCCTCAGTTGACAAGCATTGGGTACTAGGATACTATGCTTCCATGGGATCCTCACAGTGATTCTAAGATGTACTTGAGATTCAGATGGACCAGAGTCGGGCCATCCATCTGATTTAGTGTGTTCCTCATCCGCAACAAAATATGAAAACATACATTATATAAATAACATACAAATATAACATTCTGCCTTTGGGTGAGGACCGCCTCCGTGGTCTAGTGGTAGAGCGTCCGCCCGGAGAGCGGAAGGTCCGGGGTTCGATTCCCGATCGCGTCATACCAAAATACGTTAAAAGATGGTACTTGTTGTTACCCTGTCTGACGCTCGGCATTCAGGGGCTA